ATACAAATCNTTTTCCAAATATATATATATATATATATATATATAACTTATATATTCATAAGACAAATTTATAAATCCATCACAGAAATAATAATCTGTCTAGTATTGTAAGATGCAATATTAGAACATGTAACATTGCAGAAAATATTTATTTACAAAATTTTTGTATGTATTTTAGATCTTTTAAAATTATTTTATCAGCTTAGAATTTTCACATTTAGAAATAAAAATAATTTAAAAATTTTTCAATCAATAATATGCTTATATATTAAGTTTTTTTCAAAATTTTCGTAAACTTTTATGTAATTTCCATTAAAAATGAGAAAGTCTACATGAATAATAATATTTCAACATAAGAGAGATTTCTCATTATTTATTTTCTAATCTTTTCCCCTTCTTTATGGAGAGTTAGCACTTGTCCTATTTTTGTTAAAAGAATAAAAGTTAAATTTATTAAAATTTTTAAAAGTGTATTATTTTGGTAAAATATTAAAAAGTGCTTAATTTTAATTAAAAATTTTTATTAATACCATTTTTATTTTGAGAAATATTGAAAATGTTTTCTAAATAAGCTCCAGTTAATTATTTGAAATTAAATCCAAATAACGACAAATCAATTATCGAAAAACTAATTAAGCAATATCTTCTGCAAATACAAAAAATTAGAACAATACACTGTAAAACCATATCTTTCCAAACTACTTTGGATTAAAATCAACATATTCTAATCTCTCAACTATCAAGAAAAAATTTGGTACAATAAATCATACAAAATAAATTATATTATCTTCAACATATACACCAAAAAGAGGACATCAACAAATGTCTGTAAATAAAACCCAGTTTTCCATGTCAACATATGTTTCTTATTGAATTCCATAATTTTAAAAGCATTTGTAAATATTTATAAAAGATAAATTCTAAATTCATTATTTATAAATATTACAGATAATATTTTTATAAAATAAACTTCATAACTTTACTGCTATTTGACAATTACATTTTTAAAATTATTATTTCTTTCTTATTTTGTAAAATAATTAGTAAAAAATAGTAATTGTTTTATAATATTTGTATAGGTAAGATGATTTAATCTATATATAATCTTTACAATTTATTCAGCTAATAAAAATTAAATAGGCTACATCTATTTTTAAATAATTTCTTCGAAATATATTTTGTTTCTATTGTTTATTAATGTTTTTGATAAAATTTTGATTATTTTAAATTTATTTTAATAAATATTTGATATAATAATTCAAATTTACAAAGAAAATCAAACAAGAAAAAACAATTTTTATATGTCTAAAACAATTTTTATATGTCTAAAGAGATTATTTTTTTTGAATTTACAGACATAGGAGATAAGATAACATTTACTAAACTATAAAATAAAGGAAATAAAAATTTTCCAAGCTTTTGTCTCCGATTAAAAATTATTTAAAAAAATTTATCCTCTTTTCATTTTTATTTAAAAGTTATCAATTTGTCACAATTGTAGTTAGATAAATATAAGACGAATATTTTCATCACGGCCCAAACACATTTACATGAACATTTTGTTACGTATTAAATAAAATTACTTCTTTTTATTAAGTTTCGGCACAATTTAGTTTTTTACAAAATAATCGTCTACGTACGAGCTTTCGTAACGACCCAAAATAGTAAACTGCCGACAAGTCGCCGAATTTAAATCATTACTAATCAATTTATCTTATTAAATTGAATTAAATGACAACTTTACTAAATTACCAAAAAAGTTACAGTTTCTCATATTTATTACAAAGTAATTTATTCTACATTTCAAATAAATGCTACATTTTTTTTTTTAACTAATAAATTAATTCTAATTTAATTTTACTATCCATTCTTCATTTCAAATAATTATAACTCAAATGTTAAATTAATATAAAATAATTTTGGTAACTTTTTTAACATTTAATGCAATAAATATTTACTTTAATTAAACACAAAATTAATTATTTATATTATGTTTGAATAATCTCATATCCTTTAAGTAAAATGTAATAGTAAAGTCTAAAAGGAACAACTTCAATTTTATTACTTCCAAATAATTTTTATCATTTGATTTAAAGAAAAGATTACAGAAAAATCTATAAAATCATCAAAGATATATATTTTTAATGGGACTTTTATATACTTTAATCGTTTTAAAATCAGAAAATAAGTACGGTAAAACAATTATTTAAATATAAAAATTTTATATTTATTTTCATAATTACGAGTTAGCATAAAAGAATGATAATCTTTTAAATTAGAAACAAGAATTTTTTTTTAAAAAACGACGGATGATTATTGGAGAAAAACACTATTAAAATAAACAAAAAGTGTTTATCTTATTAAAATTTCCTAACGAAAGAAATTATTAGAAGCCTATAATTGTGTTAAACGTCATAGATTTACCGGGAACGAGTTTGACTACAATATATTGATTTATACGGTAACGCGATACTCGTTATTCGTTAATATTAATTAATAAATTAAATTTGTGTATTGGATTACGTTACGGAATCGATAACGTATCTAAATTAAAGCGACGGTGACTTTTGTCGAGTCCGCACGACTTGTCAAAATCTCCGTTATCTTCCAACTTCATCAGTAGGAAGCGGCCAGCTTTTCCTGGTCAGTACATAATAGAAAGTTTAGAATTTTTTGATTTATTTCCACCGCTTAAATAAACAAACTGCCAAAATCGTTTTTAATATTCGTCTCTACGCTTAATACGCTTTTAAAAACAGCGCGGACTATCCGCACCCCCCGCTACAATTTTATTAATATTTACGCAAGTAAATATTGCGAAAAAAAACAATGCTATTTTTTCCCGCAATATTATAAAGTTTAAATCGCTATTTACTTCAAATTTAAAATAGACTTCATTCGAAATTTATAAAATAAGCTTACCCATAAATAAATATTTAACAGGATACATTTTTAAATTACAAACTTTTACAGTTATTAACGAGAGTGGAATGGAAACATATGACCTACGCCATTATAATGATTGTCTATGTTAAACGGATTATAAATCACTTTTTAAACAGTACGTACATTTATTTTAAATTATATAAAATGTACGTACTGTACTGTACTTAATTAATATCGCAACGTATAAAATCAAAATGTAAAAAAAAAATTCTATACGAACCTATATAAACACGTGACGTACACTTATATGTAAAAGAAAATAGTAAAAATATTTATTATAATTTTATTCGGCAGAAAAGCCGTAAAACTTTAATAAATAAAATGTTTAAGTAAAAATAAAAAAGTAATGAATTTAGTTTCCGAGGCAACCATTTTATTACGAGTTGGACTCGATATTTAAATATATAATGAGGTTTCGAGTAAATTAACGTTGGAAAAATCGACGGTTTTGGCCGTAAATGTAAACGAAGGAAAACTTTCTTCGACTCTCGCACAAAGTTTGGACTTTTAAAGTCAATTTGGCCAGAAGCGAGCGGAAGTATAGTTACGCGGAGAGCTGTCAGATGTTAAAACCATTACTTTATCCACCCGATCGTAGGCGAAATACCAAAACACTTACCGATCATGTAATATTACATCCAATTGTTGAATAGAAGTATTTTAAACCAAATTCTGGCATACAACATAGTTCCTTTCACTCCACTTGTAACTAAATCGACGTCGGATAAAGCAAACGACAACCTAGGCCGTCCGACCAATCGAAAACTTTCCGTACGTTACGTAGTTACCTATTCCCCGCCTCATTGGCCGAAAAGATTTAAACCCGGTGACGTTCGATTATTTAGTTAGATTATTGGTTATTAAATAGTATTACTCGCTTTTGACGTGACGTAATTGTAACGCTTCGCATTATTGGACTATATAATCAACAGGTTGCTTACGTCATCAGAAATTAAGTGATTTTTTTTCGTGTTTAAATTTTGAAATTTTAAAATGCGTTTTTAGTTAAGTAAAATGCTTAAAATATCGTTTTAATATAGAAAATGGCGAAATAAAAAATAACGTATGTGTATATATATATATTTATAAGTAAGCACGGGTTTTATTATCTACCTTTGCGTAAAACTATAGAAAAGTTTAAAAATTCTTCCGGTTATAAATGTCGCGCGCACCACGCGGATTACCTATTTGCCACACGGTATGGCATATTTCATTTATTAACTGTATGATTTATTATCCGAGATTGTTTTCCGCAGGATAGATTGAGAAAAACACTCCCTATACTGTCCCTCTCTTTGGGAGGTGAAACAGGAAATGCAAAATCACGTTCCTCGTTCAGTCCCTATTACAAGCCTCGGGGTTTCAGACAGAATATTGGAAAAAAAAGAAAAAAAAAACTATTTGTATCGCATCATCTCCTTACTTCTAGAACTTCTTAAATAACTTATAGAAGTCGAACGGAAACTCCGGTCGATATTGTAATTTTCTTAACTTCTGGCAAAAGTTGACGCGTGGAAATATTGCACAAAGCTTTGCTTTCTCCAAGTTCAATTTACATTTTAAATGTTAAATGGCATCTGGAAATAAAAAATAAAGAAAAGTTTCGTTTCGAAAATATTCTCCATTTTTATATTAATAAAATATTTACAAACAAAATATACTTTGAGATTTTTATACCAATGCATTGCATCGAATGTATCGAAATTTTAGAATTATTTTGGGGTTTAAAAATGAAACTTTAATCGATTTTTCTTTAAAAATTTCCGACTTTTTAAATATATATTTTTCTACTTTTGTTGCAAAAAACTTTGAAAAAATAAAAACAAATGTTTAAATTCCTGTAAATTTATATTTTTAAAAAGAAATTAATAGTTAAAAAATAATATTAATTTTATCTTACTTTACTTCGGTATATTTTATATATAAGTATATTAATTAACATTTTTTATGCATTAATTTTTAATATTTTCAAATGTAGATGATTTTTATCAGAAAAAATTAATATATAAACTTATTTTTTTAATTAAATAATATATCTACTTTGCAAATGTATTATTGTACTTTGTATTGTTAAACTATTTCGAAATTTATTCTGAAAGAAAATCGATGAGGTACAGTGCATTCGTGAACTTTGAATAATTTAAAAATAAACTGAAGGTCGGAATTTTAATTAAAATAACGAAATTTAGATTTGCAGTAAATTGTTTTTTTAATAGAATATAATAGCCTATATACGACGGAGATGTTTCTGAATAATTCAAATACGAATTCCTCTTTCTCCACTTCGGACGAGGATGAAGGATACGAACACGCTACGTGCTCCATAGACATCACGACATTTCAAAATTCTTCTTCCGAAGAAATTCAATCTTCTGTCAATTTTAACTTCGAAAATTTAGATTATTTAGTGGATCCGAACGATGTTAATAAGTTAATGAATGACTTGAAGCAACTTCAACCCGCTTTTGGTTCATCCGTCATTAGCGAATTGGAAGAGGATGGGGATGCGGATGTTGATGGCAATGAGCGTGACCAGAATGTATCCCGAAAGTCTCTAGAATTTAAAGAGTTCGTTAAAATCTTATAAGTTCTAATTAATTTAATAGTATTCTCTAAAATGAGAGATGTAAATGGAATTTTTTTTTAAATTAAAAATGATATTATTTTAGTAAGTTCCGATAGATGGCGGCAGCTATCTTAATCATAAACATCTTGTTAATTCTAATTTTAAAAAAAATGCTTTAAATTAATCCGATCTCACAGAAATAGTCATGATTTTTCTCATCTTTTTGTTTTAAAATTTTTAGAAATAATTTTATTCAATAAATTATAAATCAGAGTTACTTTTAAACTTTATTTTTACGTTTTTTGCAATGAAAATGATAAATGTTGTACTAAAGTATGGCTTTATTTCAAGTTAATTTAAAATATTGCAGTTTATTAAAATATTTACTAACATTTACAGATCAGAAGTAAGAACTATGAACGAAGTTAAACTGAAGACAAGCATAAGCGTAGATAAATTACTCGAAGAGGTCATTAAAGTTAACCACTCCAAAAAACTGGGTTTCGCGTATAATATTAATAATTAAATTTTGTAATAATCATTAAACAGGTGAACGAGGTTAAGAACGCCGTTTCTGAAATTTCTTCTAAAAGTTTCAGTTCCGAATTAAGTTTTAATCGGTTATTTTTTCGGCGGGGGAGTGAAGAATCAATTGAGCAATATTACAACGAGCGACGCGGTTCCGTTCAAGAAGTCGAGAAAGGTGCCGCTACGTCTTCTCACGCTATCGATTACGATAATCCGGTAACCGATAAGAAATACAAGCTTAAACAGAGCGAATCCGTGCCCGAAACACTAAATAATTCGAGAGAAATAGAAAACTTGAAAAGTATAGAAAAATATATCGATGGCTTAATAGAGAAGGTAAGCCGTATTGCCGTTCATCGGTAATCCCTTAATTTCAAAGATACGACTTAAACAACATCGCGATACAGTTACGTTACTAAAATTATGAGGTATAAATCTGCTAAATATATTTCAATGTTATTTATTAATTAGTTCGAGAAGATCGAATCGAAATTGGGAAAGCTCTGGGATTCTCATCCTTCCTCCGATGTTAGAGACGAGATATTTCTTTCTTAGTGTATACTGAAGTCTATTGATATTGTAAGAATGATTTCTATGAGATAATCTGAAGCTATACGCGTTAATTTCTACTTTCTCGTAACTCATATGTTAAAATTGCCGATCTCATTATTTTAATTAAACTAATTGGTAATGCTGTTAATTCTTTTTGGTTTGTTCGATTTTAATATTTATCACGTGTCGACGAATACCCTCGTATAACACGGTGTTCGAATTTTTATAAATTCTCGTATAGCGCAAAACTCTGTTATAGAGGATTAGAAATGGGACCCGATGACCCAAACTTCAGTCCCGTGCTCGAGATTAAATCCGGGTGAGCGGCTCCCCCGGAAGTTTTTGTAAACGGTCTGTTCAAGATACGTTGGGCCCATACTTTACCACCCGGATTGATCGAACCCATAATTGACTTATTAAAATGGCCTCTTAATGCCCACAGGGCAGAGTTTTTTTTAAAAAAAAAGCTGTGATACGTATATTTCAGATAATGTATGCTTATTTCATTGCTGCTAAAGAAAAACGTTTTCTCTGTTTCGGAATGTCTTCACTTTCTAAATTTTCTTCTGTATCATCTAGTTTTCGTTTATTTTCTGTTTTTTTTTTTTTTTTACTTTTCCGGCTATTATGTATAACAGAGGGAAAGTATGGCGATCGATCAAAAAATGACCTCTCAAGATTTTTACATTTCTGGATTCGGGGGATTTTGAAACTTTGAGAAATCCAAAAAAATGGGGGATTTTCTATATGTATGGATGTTTGTGTACGATACGATTTTATTCATTTTACCGACTTCTTTTTCTGCACATTTCCTGAATGAACCGACTCTGGTCGTGCATTTTAACAAAAAATACAATATTAACAGCTTTACTTTAAGGAATAAAGCTATGACCATACCACATAATCCATAATTGTAAAATGTTTTCCGCCTCCATTATTTCAATGAATTCGGTATAATTTTATCTCGGACGCGTGGAAGCCAGCATGGTAAAAAATATTTAGTTTTAAAACTCACCACCGGGTGTCCACGTGGCGCTGTTTAACACCTCGTTTTCCGGATAAAAACCCCTCGTGACGATCCACCAGTGGCCACGCGGTTTCGTTCCCCGAGCACCGGTAGTTCGGTTGTGGGTTCGCGCCTGGACAGGCTGGCCACGTGGAGTTTTCCGGGTTTTCTCCACGTCTCTAACGCCCGAATAGGGCCGAGTTACCCTTAATAGACCATCCGAAAGACATTTCACCAGTTCCTCGCGAGTAATTTTGTATGGTCGAGCAAAAAAGTTTCGTCCGGCTCTTCGGAGGATAAGCGATTACGCAATAATCCCCGTGTTAACCCAAATACGAGACGAGACGAGAAATCCCCTGGTTATTTCCTGGGATGGAATTTCATAAGTTGTGAGATCTCGAATGTATCGTATGTCGGGTCGGTACGTTTTGTTCTATCTGTCAAGTTAGGAATCCGATAGATAGAATAAAACATACGAATAACATTAAAGCCTGATTGCGTTCTGCGGTTGAACACACTTCATCGTTTGCAAGTTCTAATAGACAGTAATGGAAGCTACACCGAGGAATTTCCGTCGCTGTTACTACTGTATCACATCAATTTCTAATTTTTTTTTTGTCATTTCAACTCACGTTGCAGTAATGTAACATTTTGTTAATTGTGAAATTATGATCCCAAAAATAAAAATATTGATTTTTTTTTAAATGTACATTTTTATCTATTACCAATGCCTTTCCAAACGCATATTAATTATTAAAATTTAAAAACTTGAGTTATAAAAGGTTAACAATGAATTACAATCTAATCAACAACCATTTCGAAAGTTGAAACAGAAAGCTAACACATGTAGAAAATAACGGTAGGTTATACAACAAAGCAATGCGAAGACACTACAGTCTTTCAATTCAAACATCCTCATTTCGAGAATTTTTACACGGTAGACCTATATCTTCGGTACTATCGTTAGACACAGCTTACTATAATGCCCCTAACAGATGTAGAAGTCTCGTCTAATAAACCTCGGACAATATTAAACTAGATTCCTCTATAATCAAACAAAAGAAGTTTAATCTTTTGAAAATGAAAAAGACTAACTCGAACACAAATTTATGTCGCATTCTTTTTTAACGTGGTTATAAAATCGAAACTTCGTCAAACTAAACGATGGAACAAACTGAATTGAAAGTCACAAAAATTTAAAGTCTGACGCGAAAACCAAACTGACCTCCGGCTGCCTCAATCCCTCGAGCCGGCCCCGGTTTAAACTATATAAGTGTATTGAAAATGTATATACGGACGTTGACACTCGTACGTATTAGCTCTAACGAAACATTACGTCAGCTGGAGGATTAAATGCATTTTGTAAAAACCCGACACGCTGGTGATGTTCGTGCCCCACGGGTAGAAGAACATTCTTATGTGCCTTCGGTAATCGGCCAATATTTTACTCTCTGAAAGATCAGATGGATAAAAAGTTTGTAAAAAAATAATTTCCGTCTGTCGTAAACGTATAATTTTATTTAATTATTTCAATGGATTTAAACTCTACGTTTATTTATTGCCAAGGATTTGCAAAGTTGACAAAATAACAAATTTTTTACAAAATAATTTATTCGAGAGAAAAATAATAGATTAAAAAATGGAAGATAGAGGACTTTCCCTTTCGAAATATTCTCGTTAGCCAATAAGGCAACCGACTGATAAAACTTCCTGGAAATTCGTTTTCCGAGAGAGGAAGTTTAGGAAGAGAAGTGTCGCCCCATTTTCTTTTTAGTTCCTGGCCGTTCTTTTGTCATTCTGCCTTACGAGGTTCCTGACAATGTATCTCAGATACCTGATCGTGTTTCTTCTATGGACCGCCGGCAGGGGTCAAGATAATCTCAATCCTCAACCGGCCCCCGTAAACACCACGACGACGACGACCACCACTCGAAATCGTAAGTATGGCTTTGTATAATTGGAATAAATTATAAACTAATCAAAGAATTTTGAGAATTAAATTTCAATTAAATAATTAGAATAATGTATAGTCGGTGCGACGAGATTGCACTCGGTCAATATTAACCGTGCCCATTGTAGGGGCGGTAGTGTGACGGGATGGGATATTTTTGTGGAACTTTGCTACACCTGTGCCGCACGAGTTTTATCATTTATAATGCGTCATTTTTCTTCGAAAAGCGTGTACAAATCAAAGCGAACCGTCTGTAGCCCGGGTAATAATCGGGAAAGTAGGGGAGGGCCGGAGGGTGATCTTAGATCTTAACACGGGGATGATACGGAAGAGTGGAGTGGTTTGATCCGGGTCTCGCGCGTAGGGAAGCTTCGGAAACATCGTGTAAATTACCATTCCACTCAATTTCTTGTATATTAATACATCGAGGGTCTGAAAGAGTTAGACCTTTCGGTCGAATTCCGAGAGGCCCTTCTTAGAAATTATATAAATGCAAGGAAACGATAGTCGAAGTAGGAAATTGAAACTAGATATTTATTTTTTCTGACAAGATATACAAAGGTATCGACATTATTTTCGTACAATTAAATGATTATTGAATATCGAAAAATAATTTCAAACGTTTTTTGCCGAGAAGCTAACAATACGGGTGCTAATTAAGAAATAAGAGTGCAAATTGGCAAGTCAGTTAATGTCTACGTAGCGCTTTGTTTTTGATTATGTTGTGAATATCGTTTCGTGTTTTTAATACACTAAATATCACTTTAGAGCTACGTAAAGAAATTTCCGTTATACGTCCTTTAACCTTGCCTAATATATAAAGGTTATAAGTTACGGCGCTAAAGAGACGTACGGAGAAAACATTAATCATAAAAATCGTACTCTCTACAACAGAAATCAGATAATACAGTCGATCGATTTAAAATCACTTCAATATATTGAATAGTACATTGTGATCTGTATATTTACCATGTAGACCAACTATTTGCCTACGTATTAATCCAATGGTTCTCGACGAGCGTGCCCGGAACTTTCCACACAAGTGCCGAACAAATTTAAATGGTTGACTCTTTATCTAAATTTTAATAGTATTTGCGTATGTTTATTTGTATAAGAGTGTCTTTAATGCCATCGTGGCTGGTCGGTAACCCCGAATTAATGCACACCGAAGTCTTAAATAATCGAATTGTGGACGATGGTTTTCTTTTATCTTATTTTTGGAAAAATGAAAATTAGAAATACAATAATAAAACCATAAATGTACGTCGAAAATATGTTTAGTCACAGTTTTATTTGTATTTAAATAAAGGAAACCAAAAAACTTTGGACAGTTTTATTTCCTTGTCGATTTGAAAGCGGGAGTGACGCAAAAACGAAAGTCGAATCGAAACAATTCATTTGTTGGAAAATACTGAAAATCGCAATTCTTCCTCGTGATTCATGCGTAATGCAAAATCAAAACTTAAACCAAAAGTAATTTTAATTGTTTTGTATAGTTCACAGTCGATCCATTTCGTAGTAAGATTTCATTTCTCGTTCTAACCTCCCTCCTTTTTTTTCATAGAATGATGCTCGATCCTTATCATTGTATGTCATATTATTAGAAATACACAAATACAAATACACGCGTAAATATATGTAATGTTTTTATTATTATATTTATAATGATTATAATCACGAATAATAGCCCCGTTTCCCATGGCCCAACCTATCCCCACAGACAGGAAGTAAATCACATAGGAAAAAATAATAAATAAATAAATAAAAATCGATAATTAGAATATTTCTTTAAATACGGACAAAACTGTGGTGGACGGTGTGTGACGCGTTACGTAAGTCTAGTTGCGCGTAACGATTACGAATTGAAGACCAAAGTAGCCAATCTTAAACCTTCTAGTAGATAGATTTTCGACAGAATGGATGTTGATCCTCTGGGAGTCGATCGATTGGTGCCAAAGGATCAAATAAAATTCGATAGGCAAACTGCACGAATAATTTTTACTTACCGGTATATTTTATTACAATGATCCTTGGCCTCTTTAATTTGCTGGTCATTGTATCATTTATAGTCTATACTAGGGGTGGTCGACAGTTTTTGCCCCCGGGCCGAATTGAAAAGAAAACTTTTTTCACGGGCGGAACCAGAGGCTTCCCTAGGGAGATTTTGAGGCGGTGCGAGATCTCATTGCGGTGTCACCCCGTAGAGACTGAATTGTAGATAGAGATTACAGATAGACTGCATTTTCACATTATCACGCTTTATCAACATTCTACGCTGTACTTAAGTGATTAGCAATGGAGGATTAACTCTAAACGCGCAGTGAGTTGTTGACGTGTTTTGTTTTTTAGGCGTCAGAATTTTTCATCGAGCTATTCGGACTTCAGTAGCTAATATTGAAAGATTAATCGCGGGCCGCGGGCTGTATGTTGGCCATGCCTGGCCTATACAGTAGCGGATCCAGAAATCCAAGAAAGGAAACAATACGCTTTACAGAATTTTTTAGTATTCGGAGGGGGTGCCGCTGCGCTTTCCCACCCTCTAAATTACTTTTTTTGCGCGATATTCTCATCATTTTTTCCCAATAAAGGTGTTTTTCATTCGTAATCATCAACGTTGTACGGAGAGGCTTTCGCCAGTCCTTCGATATAAAAAGAGTGTACGCCATTATCCATTTCAATTATATTCTTATGCGGTTTATTGTATAATAGGCCTATTATCGACATATAGATAATACGGAATCGTCTTTATATTGCGCCGATGGACCCTTCTGTAGGCCTTTTCCCTTGCCGAAATAAACTATTTTCTGTGAGTTTATTTCGGCAAATAATTAGCTACTTTCTTCTTATAATTCATCCATTCAAATTGAAAACTATTTTCGGAGCAAGGAGTCGGTATAATGGAAAAAGTAACCTACTTTTATAAAAGATTCTTTTGCAATCAGAAAGTTTTATTGGGAAAAATATATTTAACAAGATATCGTGGGGAAAGTCAGCGGTAGATTCATACCGGATGTTAATCATATCCTCTGTTTAAACGTTTACTGGACTGTCGATTCGAAACGTTCATCCAATCAGCATCCGGCTGACTCAGTTCGTATCTTAAAAAGAAGAATATACCAACAAATATTTGTTGGAACGCATTGCTAAGAGTTAAGATTATCTTTCGTCTTTATTGTACATAATATTATCGTCCAGCGTATGTTATTTGTACGAAGTATCCACGAAAGATTGTTCGGAAAGTCGGCCGATAATAATTAAATTGTATAATATCTAACTCTCGCTCTATAGATATAATTTCACCTTTCTATAAGTTAAGGCAGAATCGCTCCTAGCGTTTCTGCCACTCCTCTTCGCTTAATTATAATTACGATTAAACGTTACGTTTATAACTCTAATATATGTTGAGATTTAGACTAATTAAGCGTTAAATTTAACCGTGTATGTGCCGAGGTGGCAACACGGTTTGAAAGGGTTGTGGCGCGAAACCAGCAGCCATAACTGCGAGGAGCCAAAGAGACGTGCTTAATAAAAAGTTATCGGTGTTATCTGGTCAGACGAGTCATTCATAATACAATAACGTTTAATCGTAATTCGTCCAGGGCCGAGGGGGTTTTGCGGTTTTTCGGTTTTAAACTTTGTATTTCCTCTAGATTAGTCTAATACTTTCGTTCATTTTTACAATCGATCATTACTGTCGCCAGAGGAATTTGAAGATTGTACAGTATTATGTAAACAAACTTTCCATTCTGACGGTAGGATGTCGTACGAAACTAAACTTTCGCGTTAATTACTGCCGATTTTTCCTCCCGATAAATAAATACGTTAGTTAAATTTATTTATTTATTCAATTTAACATTATTGTTCGCCAGCTTTAAGCCTATTTTGATTACCTACCTCTCCCTGTCATATTTTGGTACCAATTTTTATACACTTGGTTTTGATGTCGCATTCGATCTCCCACCCGATATTAAAAGCCAGCATTTCTATAAAACAGATTTATTTATAGGGATAGGAACTACTACGTCACAATTTTTGTACATATCCTCCTCCCAGGTAGGACTTTCTATTTGAATAGCATCTATGAATTTAATTGTAGATTCTCCGATTGATTTCATCGATTTTAACATCAATTAATATTAGTGTTGTAACGAATAGTATATTCGGCCACAGGCCGAATACCGAATATTCGGCCAAGAGCGTGGCCGAATAGCCGAATATTCGGCCAAACTATTCGGCTCGATTAACGCACGTACGAAAATTGGCGCGCAAACCGCATTATGACAAGGATCCCGCTCTCTATTGGCCCGCTGTCACTACGCTTCGCCAATCGCGTTAATTCTTGACAGTTGTAGCGGACAGACAAGAGCATCATGGCAATATGCGATAAATGATGATATCAAATGTGAATAACAATGAAATGACCTACACTTGTAAATAACGGAAAAAGAACAGAGAAGGACCGCGAAGTGAAAATGTGAAAATAAGTATGAAATTGAGTTGATAACATAATCGAAC